AAAAATTAATTTTTTAACTGTTAATTTAAAATTTTAAAATTAAAATTAAATCTACAAAACATCACTTTGTTAAAATTTAATTCAACCATAAAATTTCTTTTGAATGACAATAAAGTATGTGTATCATGTTAAGATGATATAGTGTAATACTTTATTATCCACACGATTACTTCTTATCTAAAACAGTATAGTTACTGTAAATTGTTAGTATTGTTTTTGTCATAAAAAAATCTTTATCATTTTCTTATAATCAATGAGAATATGACTTGCACCTAAGTAGCTGTCTCAAAAAGTAAAAATTTTAATTTTAAATTGATGTCGAGAGTTCAAATTTGTTGTCAAAAAATTAACTTTTTCAATGCTCCGTTCTGATTAGGATTAAATGATATTAGATTTAAGGTTAGGACTGTTCTCTATTTGTGAATTACATGTTTGAGTTTTATGACATTTTTTTTTTATTTTTTTAATTAATATGTAAATAATTATAATTTATTTTAAAAAAATAACTTTTTCAATGTATTAAAAAAGAGGAATAATGTAAAAAATATCTCATGCACCTTGTTGCTGCCATTAGAAACTCCTTGAGCTTCGTCTTCTTCTCATCAGATTCAACGCTCAGAACCTGAATCAATATTCAAAATCACGTAAAGTTAATAAAGATCAACATCATCAACTCTGTTTCGTAATTTTGATTCAAGTTTTTGTTTTATATTTCAAACTTTTAAATTATAAAACATGAATAATTAGATAAAAAAACCTTAAATACCAAAGTACTCGTCTCTCATCTAATGATCATGTTATACCGATGGTATTACACTTCTAATTTTCATTTTAGCAATGAATGAAAAATTAAATGTAAAGACACATCTGAATTTAATTTCAGTTTTTTTTACAAAAAATAGAGATTTTCATTAAAAAGTAAAAAAAGTTGACATCATAATCTCTAAATAACATGACACTATAACCTAAAAGGCTAAAACTAAAGCATAACCTATAATATTAATTACAAATTTAAATTATATTCAAGATAAATCTAAATAATTAAATATAGAAAATCATCTCTAACTAGAGAGTAAAACAATCCCTTTAGGAGTAAAAACAAAGTTAGCTAAGTAGGAGGATTATCAATTTAGTCAAAACTTCTAGATGAAACTGCCAACTTGTGGAGAAACCAAATAATTTAACAGATAATTAACAGTCTCCCCACTCAAGAATTGTTGGTCTTCCCTAAACCAAACAAGCCCTAATCTCCTATTTTACCTACAGCCTATGATTGCCCACAATCTCCACCT